ATGAAGTAGTTTCTACTTCCACTGCGCGTTCCCTCATTAAATCCTCATCAACTTTCACTGAATGCCATATCACGATTATTTTATTTGCATATTCACAAGTGTTGACGTATTCGTACTGAAAATTCTGTCCATAATGAATGAATAACACGCATTCTTGACTTGATTTGTCTACTAGCATAACAAAGAAGCAGGCGGAAACTTCCATCGTAGACAAACTAATAATGCTTGCGGATTACCCCATTTGTACTCTCATATGAAAGGAAAACTAGAGGTATGATAAACTGGTTCCGTGACAATCCTCATGTTGACGGGTGGGAATGTAATGCAATAAACATTGCTCCATTTTCGACCCCACCCCGTTAGTAACGTGCCTTATGAAACAATCACCTACAAGTTCACATGCTTATATTTATAACAACGGAAACGCTGCTCAGTGGTGTCCAACTTTAGTTCAGTAGTTTCTGCGATAAAAATTAACTGCTGAGTTCATAAAAATCATTACCAGATACTTCAGTTGTTAAATTTCAAACCGTTGCTTCACGAGTGGGTTAAAATCACCGGCGTAATATCAGTTCGATTAATCGTGAATGAATTGTTTTCAAATCTACTTGCTAGTCAATCAAACCACTCGATCTGTAAGACTCATGAAATTACCATAACAAATGAAAGGGGAAATGGAAATAAATACCTCACGTCATGCTATCTACCAGAATTTGCCTGACGTCAATCCCAATTCACTTGGAAATGATAGATAAATCGTTTCCTTATTGGGTGTATCTTCACGTTTTAAATGTAAATCAGCGAACGATGCAAACTGAATTGTTTTCATTGTTCACTAATGAAGATAAACTATCAGGTAGCAAAGTGGGAGAGGGATGGGAGAATCGAGAAGAACTCACCCTGCTTCAATGAAATGATGAATCGCACTGTCCATTTGTTGTTGTGTAACTAAATAATCACCCCATTCTTCCTCTAANCCTCTAAACGAATCACCTCCGATGGGAACGCAGATCGGGCAAGTTCGACAGCACGCTGATAAGCGTGACCTTGACGATAACAACGCATAGCGTTATCCAGCTGGTTCATTTGCTGATACATTTCCCCGGCTTTCTCGTATAACTCACATTGAATCAACGCCTGGAGTTGGAGTATTGAAATATGCAGGTTTAATATCCCGACAAATGGGATTATTAAGTGGAAAATGAATAGCGGAGATAATGCGAAGAAGTTTACGCGTGAGAAAGGTTGTGATTGCGAACAGAGGAAAATGGTTGGGTAGGGAACACAGATGGGTCGGCTAAAGTAACAGAGTTCTGAGCTGAGGCACAGATTAGATGATTTCCCGGTGAGGTTGCATTGTCGTTCTCTGGTATTGCAATGCCTTCTTAAAAGCACAGCAAAGCAGTCCGTTATGACCTTGTTTCCGTAATTTCAGCCAATGTTTCATGAATTGTAATTCATGGGTACTTAAATTTTTCACTGATAACCTTCATCCTGACCTTCATACAAATAGCAATAATAATAATAATAATAATGACAGTAATGCTGAATCTTTTCACATCATCCAAGCAGAAGCTTTGTCGTGAAAAGAGATTTATCCGGGATAGAAGTAAGCAGAACGTAACCAGTGGCAAACGGGAACAATAAAAATTATCTCACAACCCACATCCTGGAGAGCAGGGAGTTTATAAGGGCCAGGTATCTTAAATTAAGGAGAGAGAGCATGCTATGTTGGTGAATGTCTGCATGTAAATAGCTACGTACCTTGGAGACTAAATCAGCCGCTAATATTTTTAAGTGCATTTCTGGTAAAATCACATACCGTGCGCATCTGTTAGCTCCATGCGATTGAAAGTAGTTACGAATGCAACCAAACTCACTTGAATAATCCTCTCCATCAGGCTCCTCTCATTTGCCAACTGCGGTTCGGACATCATCAAACGAGCTGCCTTTCCAGGTACACCTGCACGTAAGTATAAAGTCACTGCGGAAGTTAAATCGCCTTCTCTTTGGCGCAATTCGGCTGCTTTCTCATCTTGCCCTGTCTCAGTAAGCCAAGTTTGATGTTCTTTACGGAGTTGCTCCAGCCCAGGCCATGCCTTAGCCTCAGCAATCTACTCAAAAAAGTGACGGGAAAATGTTCGAACAAAGAAAATCAATTCATGCTTCCGTAAAACCTCAGGCAGTATTTTACCATCTATGATGGCTAAGGAACAAATTTGAAAAAGTCACACATTTTTATTATTAGAACTATTCTCTTATCATTCCGATAGATAAAATCCTCGTACTAAAACCGGTTGTATGCTTTCAACGAACTTTCCCTCGGTCATAGATACTACATATTGTACAATTTCCCGAATATCAAGCATCTTTTCTTGGAATCAATGCAAACGGTAATTAACCTGAAACCTGATCAGAGGGTATGAAAGCCCTGATCAAGGGACTCCGAGAGGTTGATCGCATTAGGCTTCTCGGATAGAGACATCGGGATCAGCCTTAATACACTGAGTGATATAGCCGGGTATCATAAACAGTGGTGCTGATGTGTTTACTCATTGTTTTCACGACTTTGATTTTAATGTATTCTGTTTCTTTACTCTGGTACTGTTTTCAGTATTCTGATTCGCCCCTCTACTCTTTCATCCTCATGGGAGACCACAATAGAATAACAACAAAAACCGCGGGTGGAGAGTGTGCGAGCTCGATGATTGTATGAACTGAGCTGTCTACATTATGGTAGGGTCATTTCAAAGTCCTTCATTTGTGCACAATTTGTAAACCGGTTTGAAGCAGAACAAAATAATCTTGAACAAATACAAAACAGTCGGGATGTATTTGAGTAAAATTGTTCTCGTATCGTGATTCTGTTCCGGTGTAATTTACAGAGGGAATTGAGAAATCAAGCGTTTCATAACAGACAAGAGTATAGGACCCAGGAAGTGACGTCCTTCCTTGTGTAGGACAAATTGAATTTAATCGACCTCGGTTGAGGGTGATCGGCTTTCCCTGAGTTAATAACGGTTTATTTCTGGCTGAATGAATTAGTTCCTTCCACCTTCCTCGTATTTAAAGTGAACAATCAAAAATGGTCTTTGGTGGATTGAAACATGAAAAAATGGCATGTTTAGAGGAACATTCAAGCAGTCACTAAACACCATGTTGTTTTAAATTTGAACGCAGTTCGAAGTATGCTCCTGTCTGATACAATTTTCGCTATCCACCACCACACATGTCCAGGAGAACCAAAACCTGAAAAAAATTACCAGAAAATGCAAACAAATTGGCGGACCAGAACAATATTCACCTCAATCGCATTATCCCATTTGTTCAAATCTTTGTACATCGCCGTCACTTCACCCACGGCGTTTTGTGAGAGTAAAATGTGTTCTGCAGCTTTGAAATCCTTCTCCAAAATGGCTATTCTTGTCTGGATTTGGTAGTCTCCTGCTGCACCGGTCTCTGCCAGTTCTCGAGTTTTGCGCAAAAAATGCACTTTGCTCACACAACCCAGGGCAGCATAGCATCGTTCGGTGATCAGCAATTGACCCGCTTTCAAAGCGGCTTTGGCCAATTTTGACCACATAGACTTTGTCTCCGGAATGACAGGCAAACTTTCTAGAAATGCGACAGCTCGTTGAAAATCACCATCGTCCATGGCAGTGCCAAATTCGATCAACCCGTTATCCAGTGCATAACTAACTGAGGTCATTCCCTCGCTGACTAAGACTTCAGTTTTACCATGCTGTCGAACAATATCCAAAATGTCACCTCCTTTCAGTGAGATTGTGGTCACACGATCAGTGGCTTCAATGTTATACCAAATGCATAAAGTGTCTCGTGACTGGGCCACTACCACATCACTTTGTGGCACCCACTGAACATAGGAGCACAGGCTCAGTAAAGTAGACCGAGCAGTGGTTTCTGTGTCATACAGTAGTAATTGAAAATTTTTATCTCGAAACAATAATTTGTGACCCGTCTCATTCAATTCAATCCAGTCAATTTTTACATCATGTGTCACTTGACCAATATGGGTTCCCGTGAGCATATCCATTATGGCAATGGTTTTCCCGTCCAACATGTAAGCAATTTTCTTATTCGCCTCACCCGAGGCTAATCGTCGTTCGTTCACACGTACACTAACCAAATACGGGTTGGTGAATTCGGTTCTTACAGAACCCAAAATCTCATTCACCCCATACTCGATTACAAACAATTCGCCTTGACCGAAAATTATACAAAAATTTGGATAACCAAAATAGAATTCCGCTTTTGTCCCCTTCGTATTCCAATGAACCTCACTCAGACGATTCTCACGCAAATCGCCGAGCATTAATGTGTCTGATGTGTGCGCAACTAAGTATCGATCTTCACCCATCACTTTAACTTCATCAATCTCGTAGCCAAAGTACGATTGCAATACAACTTTCTCCTCTGTCTTCAAGTTTCTGACAATCACTTGACTTGGACCGACGTAGTTCAATTCAAATTTATTTTTGTACCGTTGACGCTTTAGACAACAGTCAAAGTGTTCCACTCCGCCACACCATGTGCCTACAGTCAGTTTGGATCCATCCCGTTTCCAAGCCATTGCTGTGATTGTGTACAAATTAGTGATTTGTTTCGGTTCTGACTCCTCCCAGCATGTTTTGCGAGAGCTCCAAGCGAACAACCTGATCCGATCGAAGCTGCCAAAGGCGACTGACTGACCACTTGGACTGGCCACGGCTACCGTGAATTCCTTTTCCATATCTTCACGGCTATAATCAAACTGTTGCACCACTCGCCCATCTCGTCCGTAAACATAGATTCGACGGTCACAACCCCCTGCGAGAATGCTAGATCCGGCCCAGGTTAGCGCATATGGGGCGGTGGGATGAACTGCCAGCTTACCCTGTGAATCACCTGTACCTTCGTCATCAAAGAAATAGCGAACAATTTTCCCATCTGCATGTCCAGAGACAAAACCTTTGCCGGTTCCATTTAAAGCCAATGCAACCACATACGATTCCACATTGTAGATTGTAGATGACTTGTTGCTTTTCACATTGGCCGCTCGAACTTTTCCGTCCGCAAGACCGCATATAATCGGTTGACCCGGAGGCCACATCAGACAGGTAACTGGGTTCTGCTGCGGAAATTTACTACATATTGCTTTTTTCTCGTCCCACCCTTCTCCCAATTTGTAGACAAATAATATTTGATCGGACTGAGCGACTGCAAGTTTAGTTGAGTCCGGGGAGAATACCATTCCTTTGATCACAAATCCACGTTTACCTGTCTTCGGGTCAAGTGGTTTCGCAGCAAATCGTTCACGGCGTTCTCCATTCTCATCAAACAGAGTGATCACATTGTCTAAGCCGCAGATGGCCAACTTTTTATTATTTGGAGACCAAGCAATTGCACAAATGCGAGCATCTGTCGGTTGAGGTGGAACAATTGTCTTCAAATGTTTTAGCCGCATACTTCTTGAGGTTTATCAGTGCTGAATACTCTCTGTAATATCAATCACACACCTTTCGCAATCCACCAAACGGAATGAACTAAAATGACAAGAGGGTAACGAGTTAGCATAACAACTTTAACTAGTAAGTTTAACTAATAAAAAAAGATCAATCTACACAACTAGATACGCTGTACACGTCATTCCAAAATATAAATAATAGATACAAGAGAACAAAATACGAATAGTTCTAACAACAAAACAAAACAAAAATCATTCCTTGCGAACTGAAACTAATGTACCTTGAAAAGACGAGCGGAATTTCGTCTGTTTTAACGACGAAAATAAATTTAGTTTAAATTTTCCGAGGCGTGAAACTGCTATATGGTAGGATGAGTGGAAACAGTGGTACTTCAGTAGGTGGATGAACTATCCTAACGGGATTTTTTTTATCAAGCAACGGTCTAAATGACTCGATATACTATGGAGGTGCAAGATGCAAATATTCCTTCGTTGAAGCGGTACCTTTTGCCAGCAGTAGTATCTAATGGTCATCCTGGAGCCATTTTTCAGCATCATATTGCCGTAGTTTATAACTCGTAGCTAACAACATGCTGGGTATTATTTCACGGTATCAAAACAATGGTGTGACCAACGTGTAACGCAGATTTGAACCCAATAGAAACATTCGGGCTATTCCTAATTGACAGTAGTACTGACACCTCAAAGTTTTCATCACAAAACATGAATTTAATTTATTTCGGATTAGGAAGTGAAATCAAAGCGGCACCAATATGATTAGAAATCTTACACACAGTATAACAATGGCTTCAATGGATGAAGTTTATGGTGCGCTGAAGGTGATCAACCTTGTGGTATGTGTCGTGCGGACACCTTATCAATAAGCGCACTGAGAAGGTGGAATGTTGCAATCGTCAATACAAACTCAGCTCAAATTGGTTACAGAGAGTGAGCTATGGCTGATGCAGCCGTGTTATCGCTCATGGTTCTTCAGGATTAGAAGCTCAAGTGAGTGGAAGAGAAACAGAGACAGAATGGTTTCTTATACCGAGGTTTATCTCTGAAAACAGTAACTGGTCGATTTGACCATGACGGCATGTTCACACTGAACAGTTTTAGAAAAAGATTCATATTTAAGCACCGGTTAAAAGTAAAATACTAGAATTCACATGAGCTTTCTTCTGTTTATACTGTTGAATGTATCACATTATTACCGAGCACCAATGCGGGCAGGTTTACATTCATCACTGAGTGGAATAAAAAATCAAAGCACTCGGTGATATTTCAACATGAGATTTGGTGCGTGACTGCAGACACAGTATTTGGTGAAGATCACTATTCGTTGGCGCAAAGAGATTTTACATGTCTCCGGCACATCTTGTCCGCTATATGAAGCGCATCTTACATTCCGTCAGAAATGTGATAGATTCCACCCTTAATTTATCAGGGTTTATTTTCCGGGGAAAGATAACGACGAAGTTCTATTGGCCATATTTGGAACGCAATTGACGGAAACTACTCTAGGCAAGTTATTGCGGTGATTTTCCAAGAGCTTAAGGAACGATTTAGTTTCACGCTGCGGTCTAACATTCGCCAAATGTCGGAAGAGTTCGATGTTCATCGAGTAAAAAAGAAACGGCGTAAATCCCAAAGTTGCATTAGCAGGTCAAGCGTGGTTTGCTTGTGACCGGAATTCCCGCTGCACCACAGCACGAAGATGACGCAATAAGCGTATTCAGTGATATCTCGATGTCATAATGTAGCTTCCACAAAACCGTCCTTTGAAGGAATTCGATCCTCACCAGTGGCAACATTTATTTAAATATTTTACATGATTGGTGGGGTTACTTCCAACTAACTTACCCATCTACTACAATGGTCGCGTACTGTTTCATTTGATATTTTGCAAAGTGCAGTTATTGATTTAGACATCCAATGTCGGAGAATCCAACCGATTAATAACGAAATGGGTCCAACTTATTGTTTGCCAGTTCGAAGAGATTTGAAAATTACTTTTGTTTTCCTGTATCAATTTAGATTAACTGTTTTAGACATCTGAGAAGTACATTTGGTTATACGAAAAACAATTTAGAAGAAATGAAGTACCCAGAATGAGATGACATGTGTGCGATAATTAGTACAAGTGGTGTGAAAGAGATGTGTGATAATGAAAGAATGAGTGGGTGGGTGAGTGAATGAGAGTCTACGGACGTCACGAGCTGATAGGTGGATTGATCATGAAACATATTGCAAGACCGAGCGGTCCCGGTGCTGACGCGCCCTCTGCATGATACTCAGCATGCACAACTCCAATGCATTTCTATACCATTTCATGTTTAAATTTAACTAACAGTTACTTGTGAGAAGTGTTGTGCGATAATTGATATTGGTCGATTAGATCTGACAATTCTTCACATTTTACACTTCACCTTCAAGCACAATCAATCCTCAGTTCTTCCAGTCAACCATACACTCGGAAGCATTAGACTCGAGTTTCGCTCTTATTCGAGACCGTCATTAGTGCATATTCAGCGTCCCGTCCGATATTTGAACTCCGAAGCCATCGCTTGGAAGGCGTGTGTGCAACCACTGTGCCAACCAGCTCATGCTAAGGCTGAACAGAATTGCCAATTGATGTTTGTTCAGGTGTCATCTTTAGTGATAATCAGTTAGTTCATTTTTGCCTGACAGCAACGGAGAGGGAGAGAGAGTTGACTGCAGTCGAAAGCCTTCCCACCAAACCAGGTATCTCATGTGGGCTGTGGGCTATCTGGCTACAAACCTACTAGGCTGGATTAGTAATTCACCTTTAACTCAGAGTTAAATGTGAGTAGTGGTGGTCAGTTATAATCAATGAACTTTTCATGTTTGTGGTAAGGATCATTTTGATTTCAGACCGAAACGCCTTAGTTGTTCCCGTTTTCGTTCAGCACACAACATTGATCAGATGGTCGCAGGTTTTTCCTACGCACCTGTGTCCGATATTTGAACTTAGAAGGCATGTGTGTTACCACTATGCCAAGGAGCTCATACCAATTCATGTTTGTTCAAGTGTCGTCTTCAGTGATAGTCAGTCTGTTCACCTTGGCCCGATACCAACGGAGGGAGACAGACGCAGTCCCGTATGAGCCTCCTCAGCGCAGCTCGGTGGCATGACTTAGATGTGTGTCCTGCGACCACTTCCTCAATCGTTATGAATCATCTTACCTTGGAATTTGTCCTCAACATTTCAATCCCCATTATACTCTTTCACGCAAATGAGCAGCCAAAAGACGGCAACCAAAACCGACGCACGAGAGTGCTTGGTTAATGGTTGTAAAACTGAAACCGAAACGTCTCCCAGAAGTCGTCTAACCGACGCATGTACATTTCATCCTTAGCATATTTTACAGTTTGGTCCCCGTCGAGATGGGCGGTAAACCGATGAAATCCCGTCCGTGTGCTGTTTCACCAGGATTAGTGCGTGTCCCCTCGTGCGACTGTGATCTCGAAGCGGGAAAATCGCCCGCAGTTCGCAGCCCAGATACCCGCGGATAATGAGTCTGGCATAGAATAAGTCTATTTCCGTTCACCTGTACTCTAACGGAAACAGTCATCTAGCCTGCAATCATCCTTCCTCGTTACTCCTACGCATTGGGCAATAAGGTGTGTGGCGTGGAGCTGTACCCGTTCCATTTTCTGCGCTTCAGCCTCTGTGCATAGAAACGATGCATGGTTGGCGTATTCCAGTCTCGGGTGGATATAAGAAGCATGCAACACTTTGAGGGCATTCGGAAAAAGTTCTCCGTATGGCTCTCAGTATTCGCCAGGTCAACGCACACACTCCATCAGCGTGGCTACTGATCTTTAGGATGGAGGCCACTATTTGCTCCAAATACTTTTTACATGTGGAGGAGTGCTCCAGATTTGTCTTCGAGATACATTCTTCGCACACCAGGCGACGACGAAGCCCGCACAGTAGGTTAGCACGGGGTAGGTATTGCAGTCAGTAACAGGGCTGAGTCCTCTTTTATCGATTGGATCCACATCAATAGTCGTTTATGTGCAGTAGGTCTCCAGAGTTCAATCAGCGTCCGGAAGGGAAGCAACACCAAAAGATGTTTGTTCATTGTATCGGTATATGCATCGAACAATTGCAGTTCTGATACACACAGGTACGCGTTCTACGATGAACTTACCGATCTCATTCGGATGTGTCAAAGCTCTGGCGTAGTTGCACTTGCAGGCCATTTTAATGCGCAGGTTGGAAAACTGAGCGCATCAGGAGCTTTCCTAGGCGGTAGTTGTGCTCTGCCTTGCCAACGAACAGATAACGGCGACCGTCTTCTTCAGTTCTGCACAGATCATCATCTGTTCCAGTGCCAACTTCCGACACAGTTCTCGACGGACGGCAACGTGGCGCTTCAGATCAACTA